CATCAAAAACTAATGATGTAATGTATGGTGATTAACATAACAATAAAAATTATTTTAAAAACTAATGATGTAATGTATGGTGATTAACATAACAATAAAAATTTAAAGAAAATAAAATTGGAGCCATAGAAGATGCATACTCAGTTATCTCTCATTCAACAAGTATGCATTCACTGTTCCACATTTAAGACACTGGACTGTGCCCCAAGGCAAGATGAGGATGAGTTAGGCTCATCACTGGCTCTCAGAAAATCCTGACTCTGGGAAAGGTGTTGGGACATGTATATGGATGGATACAGAGCAATGCGAAACACACTGTGACATGTGAAAGGAACAGATAAAGACCTTTGGGGATTCAGAGGTGGGTGGGCATACGCTTCCTGTGTAAATTGGGATCATTTTTCCCTTGATAGGTTTATGACATGGAACTGGGAGAAGAATTTTATCTTCCTCAGAATAAAAAGGAAAGCAGACAGATTGCACCAGAGCTTTCTGACCTTGTCATCTATTGCCAAGCGGTAAAATTTCCAGGTAAGGGTGGGCAATATCATCTATAACATTTAAAGATAGCAAAAGGTAAAAATTTGCTGTTGATTTAATTGGACATTGCGAATGCTTTCAAAATAACTAAATTGTGTTACCAAACTCATTGTTACACTACCTTCTAAATATTTATTATTATTATTATTATTAGCTTTGATGGTCATGAGGAAAAATACCATAAAATGTTTATTTTCCAGATGTCATGTCTTTTCATAATAGTTAATAATAATAATAATAATATTTATAACATCTAATAGCTAAAATTTAGTAAGCCCTTCAGTGCCAGGATTTGTGCTAAGTATCTTACATACACCATGTTACTGACATCCTAATAATTCTGTGAGGTAGGTGGGTTTATCCCCATTTTTAAAGAAAATGAAATCTGAAGGAGACACACTGGTCCAAGGTTTCCTGATGTATCATCTAAGACTCTTTTGTTTGAAAGTGGTAGAAATTGACTTAAGCAAAAAGGAAATTTATGGGCTCCTATATTGAAACATGAAGGGATATACAAGTTTCAGGTACAGCTTGATCCAGGGCTTCTCTTTCCCCATTTCTCACTCTGCCTCCTCTGGGTTGGGCCTGTTCCCTTTGTGGTAGCAAGGCGGCTGCAGCAGGCTAGCACCACATGTTTCCAGATCAGCTTCCATCTTAGAGCCTCTTCCGGAAATTCGGCACCAGTTTCATTGTTTTCCATTGAGTCCTTTGCCCATCCCTGAACCAGTGCCTGTGACCCAGGGAACGCAGAGCTCTGACAGTCGAGGGCCAATGGCACATTCCCCATCTCTGAGCTGGGTAGTGAGGCTCCACCTGAACCACAGGGCCAAGGATGGGATTTCAGTGGGAGAGTAGGTTTTCCCAGCTTTCTATTTCGAGAAGTTCATGATAAACCATTCCTCCCCCCAAAAATGTGCATTTCCATTAATACAAGGTAAACTGTGATTCTGAAGCCTATCTCCAAAGTCCTGCTCTTAACCCTTGCACGACCATGTCCCTCTTGTTAGGGTATGATCTCAGTGCACTCACCCAATTGCGTGTCCCACAAATGGGGCAGCAGGGGCTGCAGGGCAAACAGGAGAGTCCATAAATATATGGAAGTCAGAAAAATTCATCTCCTTAGACTCTGAAAAAGGATCCCCTTGTGCAAAATTTCTGAGGATGGGAAAGCAGCTGGAATCAGGAGATTCATCTAAATGTTGGGAAACGGGGTATACAAACTTGGCCTAGAGAAGGGAGTTGACATTTCAGCCCTGCACGTGAATGCAGATCCTGGCCTCCAGAGTCATCTCTTAAGCCCCACTTCTCACACTCTGCCCTGCAAACAGGACAAAGGTATTAGGCTATTAAAAAATTAGGTAATAGTGGTCTTTTCACACACATGGAAAAAATCACAGATAGAACTTCCTCAGTTTCAAGCTTTCGCCCCTTAACTGTTTTTAAAATTTGGCAGCTACTGCTGCTTATCTGGTAGCAAATGCTGTTGAGGAAGATGTGAATTAATAAGTAGCCATCAGAGTTTTCAAAGAAATTTAAGAACCTAGCTATTTAGGTTTTGCTTCACAGATCGTGACTTTGTCACGTTAAGTACGATATGATCATACTCGCAGCTGGGGAAATCGTTCTCATGGTGGGATTAAGTCCTCTTCCTTGTCAAGGAGCCTGTGGCCTGCATGTCCTTTATGACTGGAACCAAGTGTGAGAACCACTGCGTTCACAGATCAGTGATCACTCACATGCTCACATTCGAGTATCACTGCATCTCTTGTTCTTTATAAATTCAGCGGACACCACACCCAAACCATTCCACGGGCTTTATCTTTTCTTCTCAAGCACGAATTAAAGAGCACAAATTCCCAAAGATATTTGAAGTCACTGTGAAAGAAAGTTTCTGTACCAAGAGAGAATTGTGGGAGAGCCAAAAGGTCCCTGGGTCCAGCTTCTGACTTGAGGCACAGGCTAAGGGTTATTTGGCTTATGTTTAAAATTCCAAGAATGCTGTTTTTTAAAAGTGTTTATATAGCACATGTTCTTTATAGGTATACTACATTTAATTGGGGATTGTTGTTGGTTTTAAGTGATTGAAGTTTCTTTTTTTTTTTTTTAAAGATTTTATTTATTTATTTATTTGAGAGAGAGAATGAGAGGGAAAGAGAGCATGAGAGGGGGGAGGGTCAGAGGGAGAACAGACTCCCTGCTGAGCAGGAAGCCAGGTGCGGGACTCGATCCCGGGACTCCAGGATCATGACCTGAGCCGAAGGCAGTCGCTTAACCAACTGAGCCACCCAGGCGCCCGTGATTGAAGTTTCTTACATTTTTCTCTCCCCAAATTTATTTCCTCTCAAAATTAACAAAACCATGCTGCCAGAATCATTGTCCTAATAGTTTCTAAATATTTATTGTTATTATGCTTTGTCTCAATGCTCATGGGGAAAACACCATAAAATGTTTATTTTGCTACACGATCAACTTTAATTTTGCTACCTTATCAGTTTCAATGCATCACACCTCCACCATTCCGAGTCCCTTCCAAGGAGCCACGTGCAAAAAAATCTTCAGAGCAGTGAGGCACCATGAAGATCATGTAGTATGACCTTCCCCAGAAGTAAATTAACTACCCCAAGATCATGATCCTGCTTCAGTGGCAGAGCTCAACTCCTCAGTGGCCTTCACTGGGACAGTTACATAACTTCTCTCCACTTCCAAATTCCATATCTGTAAAAAAAAGGCATATTATGTCCTAACTTGCAGGGTGGTTGTAAAAATTAGCAATAAAGTATATAATGTGATTAGCACGCTATCCAGAAAAGAATTGGCTCTCTGGGAGTGGTTTTTGTTGTCATTGGTAAATAGGCCAACAGGGCAGAAGAAGGCTCTTTGTTGCTCTCTCAGTTACTTCTGTGGGTCTCCCCAGATTCCTTCCCTTTTCTTGATCACCCAGCCCTTGTTTTCTTGCTTCCTCACCCCAAGGGAACAACCAGGCTCTTCACAAAAGGGCCCACATACACTTTGACGCATGCCAGGATGTGTGCAAAAACCCCCGAGTGAACAGGCCCCTCACTCTAGGCCCTTGGGAGAAAACCTACTGTTACATCGTTATGCACAGAGCAAAATTCACACAAAATTTTAAGATAAAGCATGAGAACCTCCTAGTCCAAGTGTGTGCATCTTTGTGGTTACAGATACTTAAAAGGAAAAAAAAATTAGAAGCCCCACAGCTGCTATGAACTGAGCACTTTCTCTGAGCAAGACACTCTACTGAGTATGTATATATACATGATCTCATTCAACCCTAAGCACGACCCTTTTATAGATGAGGAGGGAGTGATGCAGAGAGGTTAAATCATTTATGTGAGGTCACACCGCTAAGAATAGGGTGTAAACCCCAGGGTCTGTGCTCTTACTAAGCACCGCCTTATCCTGTCTTCTCTGCTGATGTTCTTGGAAGGTATATTTTCCTCTCAAAGAGGACCTCCTGCATGCTGCTTGGGCTGAAGGAGTGACTTTCTGGTGGTACGGTTGTACACAGTGGAAGGGTTTGGAGGTAACTCTGGCTTCATTAGTGCTTTTAAATGACTCTCCCTGCACTGGAGCCAGGTCTGCCTTCATATCCTCATTCAGCAAAAGTCTGTGAAGTTGCTGCTGCACACCAGGCGTTATGCCAGGCGGAAAGGGTCAGGCAGTGGTTGGACTAGGAGTAAACTCACAAGAGAAGCCATGAACCATCAGGATCGTCATCACCTATTTCCCACCAAACCCTCAGACTAACCCTGTGAGCGAGTTCCTATCATCACACCCATTTCGTGGATAAGGACAATGAGGAACAGAGAAGGTAGATGTTAAGCCAACGTCTCACTTGCAGGAACTGAACCCAGACAGTGTGACGCTGCAGCTCAGGCTTTGACCCATTCTTTTATTGCTCCGAGTTGAGTAATTAGGTTCTGATAATTAAATATTGACTGGGGCGCTTTCCTTTCCTGCAGTTTTTCAAACTCTTTCTGGGGCACAATCAAGCGGGTGTGTGTGTGATTTTGCGATGATCATGCAGTTCTTGTCACATTTGCCTCCAGAGAGAGAGAAGTTTTGCTGTCATTGCCTGCAATGCTATTATTAACTGCACTAAAAATGCTAGTAGGTCTTCTGGCCCGGGGCTGCAAGGGAGTAGTAGGACTTCAAAATAAACAGTAACAGGGATGGAAAATGTTAAGTTCCCTTGCTTGTAGTTTTTGGCTTATTTATTTTCATTTTATGGGAACAGGCCTGTCAACTCTAAATGCATCTGGCTCTAGCAGAGGAAAAGAAAGGAAAAGCAGGAAGTCCATTTTTGGCAACAATCCGGGCAGAATGAGCCCTGGGGAGACAGCATCGTTTAACAAAGCATCTGGAAAAAGTAAAGTCACCTTCTTCCAATATTTTGGCCCAATTCTGCATGCTGGATGATTCCAATACTTGACCGTCTAAGCACTTCCCTTGAACTTTTAATTTCTTTTTTTATGTTCATGAATGTTTATGTTATCTACGTGTGGTACCAATATCTTTAAAATTACAAATTTACACTTTTAACTTCCTAAAGAATAACATTTCACTGAAGACGTTCTAACAGTGTTTGCCTCAAAAGTAAAAATTGGAGCCACCTTGGAACATTCTAGTTGTTCTTGGAACTCGTCATCCTTATAACTCCAGAAGATATATCCATTTTATTTCTAATTACTTTTTATTATAAAAGTAATAAATTCTCATAGTTAAAAACTCAAACATTTCAGAGTATAATTAAAATTCCTTTCCACTCTCCATGTCCCAGTTCTATTCCCCAGAGGTAACCACTGTTAAGTTTATTGTGTTTTGTTCAAGAAAAATAAGATTCTTTTTAAGATAATCCAAACGGGATATAACTGAACATACTTGGATAACTTTTTTTTTCCTTCAGGTTAAATTGGTATATAACATTATATTAGTTTCAGGTGTACAACATAGTAATTCGATCTTTGTATGCACTACAATAAATCTAGTTAGTTATCGTCCATCACCATATACCTGACGCTCTTCCCCCATTTCACCTGTCCCACCTCCCTACCCCTTTGAAATCCACCGATCCGTTCTCTGTATCCAGGAGATTTGTTTGGTTTTATGTGTTTGTTTTGTTTTTTATATTTCATATATGAGTGAAATCAAATGGTATTTGTCTTTTTCTGACTTATTTCATTTAACATTATACCCTCAAAATCCGTCCATGTTGTTACAAATGGCAGGATCTCCTGCATTTTTATGGCTGAGTAGTATTCCATTGTGTGTATATATGCCATATCTTCCTTATCCATTCATCCTTCACTGGATACTTAGGTTGTTTCCGTATCTTGGCTGTTGTGAATAATGTTGCAGTGAACATTGGGACGCATGTATCTTTTTGAATTGGTGTTTTTATTTTCTTTAGATAAATATCCAGAAGTGGTATAGCTGGATCATACGGTAGTTCTATCTTTAATTTTTTGAGGAAATTCCATACTGTTTTCCATAGTGGCTGCACCAGTTTGCATTCCCACCAACAGTGTTCGAAATTTCCCTTTTCTCCACATCCTCTCCCACACTTGTTATTTCTTGTCTTTTTGATAATAGCCATTCTAACAGGTGATATCTTGTTGTGGTTTTGGTTTGCATTTCCCTGCTGATTATTGATGTTCATCTTCTCGTGTGCCTGTTGGCCATCTGTATGTCTTCTTTGGAAAAATGTCTGCTTAAATCCTCTGCTCATTTTTTAATCAAATCGTTTTTTTGCTCCTGAGTTATTTGAGTTCCTTATACACTTTGGATATTAGCCCCTTATTGGATATATGATTTGCAAATATTTTCTCCCATTCAGTAGATTGCCTTTCCTTTTTATTGATGATTTCCTTTATTGTGCAGAAGCATTTCAGTCTGCTGTAGTCCCACTTGTTTATTTCTCCTTTTGTTACCTTTAATTTTGGAGTCAGATCCAAAAATTCAACACCAAGACTAATGTCGGGAAGCTTATTGCCTTTGTTTTCTTCTAAGAGTTGTGTGGTTTCAGGTCTTACATGCAAGTCTTTAAACAATTTCAAGTTAATTTTTTGTGTATGGTATAAGATAATGGTCTAGTTTCATTCTTTTGCATGTGGATATCCCGCTTTCCCAACACCATTTATTGATGAGATGATCCTTTCCCTGTTGTGTCTCCTTGGCTCCACTGTCACAAATTAATTGCCCATATATATGTGGATTTATTTCTAGGCTCTCTATTCTGTTTCATTGATCTATGTGTCTGTTTTTATGCCAGTACCATATTGTTTTGATTACTATAACTTTTTAGTATAGTTTAATATCAGGGAGACTTGTATAAATTTATACTTGCTATAACTTTCTTCACAGCTTTCTGTACATATCTACCTTATTCTCCTTAATGCCCCCGTGGTATTTCATTGTGTGGGTAGACTGTCATTTATTTAACTGCTTCCTCACTGGTAGAACATTTAGGTTGCTTCCTGCGTGGTGGTGGTGGTGGTGGTGGTGGTGGTGGTGGTGGTAGTGGTGGTGATGGTAATGGTGGTGGTTTTGGAGTTTTTGCTTTCGGGGTTTTGTTTTGTTTTGTTATTTTAAAGAGAAAAAAACAATGCTAGAGTGAACACCCTTGGGCATGTGTGGTTGTGTATTTGTATAAATTTATTCATAGAATAGACGAGATGCGGAGGCAGAGGACTTTCGGGCTCTTGATTTAAATTAGTGTTGTTACACTCATCTTAAAACACACTAGCCATCATTTTGTTTCAAGGTAGTGGACTAACAAGGAACAGGCAAGATGTATTCTGATGTGTTATGTGTTATGATTGCCTACTGGGATGTTGTTCAGGTTTATCTTTCTAAAATATTTAAAGTTTTCTGCACTAATCTGAGGCTAATCTTTTGGGGGGTTTAGGTTCCTGTGAAGGAATGCGACAGGCCTGGGAGGAATCTTCTTCCCCCCTCAACCCAACCACATCCCTCAGCGCTATCATTAGAACTCCCAAATGTTACCATATCTCATCGCTGAATGAAAATGCCGCCAAACGTCTGTGTCGCAGGTATTCTCAGAAACTGATCCAGCACACCGCCTGTCAGCTGCTGAGGACTTACCCGGCTGCCACCCGCATCGACTCCTCCAACCCCAATCCCCTCATGTTCTGGCTCCATGGGATACAGCTCGTGGCGCTCAACTACCAGACAGATGGTAATGGGCCTGCTTCACCCAGAAGGGTGCCTCCCCACTGCTCTCCTCTGCATCTTATATTTCAGCAAATGTAGTGCAACAAACAAGATTGTTAGAAGGGGGCCAGATTCCACACGGGGGCACACCATATGTGAGGGGTAAAGTACAGAGGACTGAATTTGATACGGAATTGTGCCCTGGATGTTTCAGTTAAGGCAATAGATGAGAACCGTGAAGGGGCCCCTAATTGTCTCCTGTTCCCTGCCCCCTTTTTAAAGCATTTTTTAAACATACAACTGTGCTTGGTAGGGCTGTGTCCAGTTTGTTTTTAAAGATCTTTGGGGTAGAGATTTCCTAATACTCCTTAGGAAGTTCTCTTGCTAAGCTCTTGTTCTTGCCGTCAAAAAGTAGTGTTGCTCCGAACACTTGGCAGGCTAAAAACATTTTTGCTTCTTGTCTTCCCTTTGAGATTGAGATAGAGAATGGTCGTTGCTCTGGAAGGGGCTAACACACACACACACACACAAAAAACCAAGTATGTGACCCACATGAACAGAGAGAGTAGTGCCTGTGTTTCTCCACTGTGGATGAGACTTTCCTAACAGGGGAACTGAGGAGACCTAAAACTCCAGGTAAGAGCTACGGTTTATGGCAGGCTCACTGTGCACCAGACACTGTGCTGAATTCTTGACCCCTCTCCCTATTATCTCATTTAATCTACGAGGTAGATACCTTTATGATCCCCATTTCTCAGATGAGCAAACCAAGGCACAGAGTGGTTAATTTGCTGCACGTTATAGAACGACTTATAATAATAGTTTCAAGGACCCTGTGAGTTTAGAGGATAAAGCGTTTTGTTTCCACTTGATTATGGGTGGTGGGGAAGCAGGGAGCTACAGAATATGAAGAAAGAATAAAAGAGAAGTGTTTCCTAGAAGCTCATTCAAAAATCAGAGTCTTTCCTTTGAAGAGTGGAGTGGCCTCCCCATGCCTCTCACGTGAACTGAATCAGATCCTCGTTAACCTTGCTGACCCATCAGCACAGCCCTGTCTCCAGCCAAGGTCAAACCACAGTATTAGTCCTGGGACCACCTAGCAGCCTGACACTGGCGCCAACACGGTCCATTCGTGGCTGACCTCACAGACGTATGGTCACAGAGATCAGTCCTATTTTTTGCCCTTTAATATTTGTTTCTTTCAATTGATATTAAATAAGTCAACACAAGTGAAGTACCATACTTAACATAGTGCTTGGCGCATAGAAAGCATTCCACAAACATTAACTATCGTCAGTGTTTTTTGATAAGTTAGGAAAACAGTATGATTTGGACTCACAAGTGGAAATAATAATGAAATATTTTCAAAGTTGTAAAAATTTCTTTTCAATCTGTCCCAAGTGGCTTGTGGGTTCACATCTCTGGCCCTGTACTTAGCCCTGTGTCCACTGGTCCCCTTGGTTATTATGATACTGAAATATTTTAAGTAAACTGAAATAACTAGAAAAAATCTTTTTCTCAAGGAAATGGAAATGCATTTGGTTTTGGATGTGTCCTTTCTCCTGAAGTGCCAAGGCTGCTGCAGACATACTGGCTCCACCAATGGCAGAGGGAGCCCCAGCTGAAGGGGACACAGGAACGGCCCCTCCTTGAGCCACACTGCAGTCTGAAACACACACTGAGGCTGACGCGTGGCCTCCACTCACCCCGGAAGGTTTCTCCTCTGTCCCAGGTCAAACCAGAGAGCATGTTGGAGCTTCCCCACTCAGAGGAGGCAGATGGCAGTTTTGTGCAGTTCATCCTCAAGTTTCTGTGCAAAACCTTCCAACTCCCAGGAGGGAGTACTGCCATATATCCTCTCTTGATTTCAGTATGGCAAGCAATGACAAACTTCTCCCCACACTGGACAGAGCACAAGCTACATGCAGTTTCAGTGTGTTTATCTGTAAAAATAGTCTTCATTTCCCCAAACTGGGGGTAGAGCCAGAGCAAGACCTTGCACACAGTGGGTGCTCAATAAATGCATGCTGCACTGAGCTGAAACAGATTGTCTCTATCAGCGCCACTGCAGTCTGAACCTGTGGTTTGTGAGTTTTGGTCCAGATCTCTTCTAGGTACTTCTCTGTGAATGCAAGTCCAAATTAAGAGTCAACATTGGAATAATTATTTTTTAATTTTTGAAAAGAATTTCTAGGTTAGGGAGTGCTTGATTTTCCATGAAATGTCCCAACCAAATAACCGAACCCCCCTCCCAGTGTCCCTCTAGTCTCCAGATATGTTCTATGGATCATCTACCTTACCACTTCCTGAATTTCAGGGAACCCTGATGCCCCAAAGGGGTGTCCATAGACAGGCTGATCTCTTCCCAGGATCTCTAATGGCTCCATCAAATCCTGGAAGGTCTGCAGTTTTCTAGAACCAGGAGTATCCCACATCTCCTCAGTAAAACCAGCTCTTGAGCTGGGAAACTCACCTGAGCCTGGTATGCAGACAGACCCTGGTTGTTCCTGGCAACAGTCCTGCAAAGCTCTTTCCATCCAGGGCAGAACAATTTTTGCCTCATGTCGTAGGACCTACAAGTATATATAGACCTTCAGCCCTAATCCGAAGACAAGCTTCTGTTAATATTTATTATGCTTTCTTGAATGATTGTCACACTCTTTATGATGACTTTCCCAGCCCCAAAATATAGGGATAAATATTATGAGAATGGTGTCTACTTAATATGGAGTTTTTAAAAGAACGGAAGACTTTAAAGGTGATGCTATGCTTGATACGCCATCACATGCATTGACTAAGAGGGATGATGGTGTTACACAGATTCCTGCATGCTCTGTCCAATTGGTTAGAACCAGAATTTTAAAACTATAGCCCTAGATGAAGTTCTGGGACCAGCCATAGGACCGTAGGACGACTGGACTTGAGGTCCCACTTTTATTCCAACTGAGCAGCTCCACGTGGATCTATGTTACATGGTGGATCCCCAAATGAAATTTTAGTTAAGAAAAAGTGCTTTCAGATTTTGGAAAGCTACAATGATGACACATTGCTAATGCATTCAGACTTCAAACCCAAATGGGTGTTGACAACATAGTCCTATTTAATGGCTACTGTTTATCGAGCACCTTCTATGTGCCACACACCGGGGTAGGGGCTTTCACACCATATCTCATTTGTCTTTATGATACCACTGTGAGAGCTTCAGCAGTTCAGACTCGGTAGTTAAGATAATATACATTACCTGGTTCAGTAGTTAAGCTGGGTCAGGCTGTCTGGGTGTGAACACCAACGTCCACCACTCACTAGCCATGTGCCTTGAATTTGTTCATTTCTTGTGTCTTGATTTCTTTATCTATAAAAATGAAAATATTAACAGGAGCTACCCCATGGGTTATGGAGGCACTGATGCACATACTGCCTAGCATTGGGGGCTGGTGCCCGGGGAAGGGCTCAGTGAGTGGGAGCTGCTATAACTTCATTAGGAACGTTTCTCCATTTCATGTTTACCAGAGGCGTGGGCTAGTTTGCTTCCCTCCGTAGCCTCGATGAATCAGTCACATGGGGACCAGATGGGCCTGAGAGGTGGGGTCTAGTGTGCTAATTTTGTAGATAAGGAGGCCGAGGCCCCTGGAGCTCTCACGTGTCTAAGACATCTTTCCCCCAAATTCCGGCACATGGCCCCAGCCAACTCCATGTACACAGAAAAATGTGACACACAAGACGAGTGAAGGCCAACTTCTCCTTGCTCCACCGTGCTGACCACACTGTTCCTTGATGTTGGTCCATGTAGCAAAGTTCACTCTGCCCATGGGAGGAATCTATCAGAGGGAACATTTGTCAGGTGTATCTCATAAACTATTTGCTCATTTGGGCCACTTTTATACAGACTGCGCCATCGGATGAGCGTTTGAGTGTGGAAGAGTCCAAAAATAGTGCAGGGGTCCAATCATTCATCAGAGAATGGTGCCAAATAAAATTTGGCCCCCAAATACTGGAAGCTGTTGTGAGAGTTCCAGGCATTGAGGATTGAGGGGATTGGGGACATGATGTGAATCACATGTGATGATTTTGTTTTCATATGGAACTACAATTATTTAAAAAAAGGTAGAAGTATTGTGATTTATGGGTTGAAATTGAGGTCTCAAAGACAAGGTGTGTTTTTCTGGCTCTTCTAGCCTTTTTTTTTTTTCATTTAAAACAAGTGTGTTTTTTTTAACATATAATGTATTATTTTGGAGGTACAGGTCTGTGATTCATCAGTCTTACACAATTCACAGCACTCACCATAGCACATACCCTCTTGTATTACTAAGATTTCATCTTCTATTTGAAAAAGCCAGAATTGTTCATACAATTGTCTGCAATGGTTGGTGCATGGGGATACGAAAATGCCATTATCCCTTTCTAAAATTCAGTATAAAATGAGGTATTTCCAGGATTTTTCCGGATGGATGTTGTGAATTTTTATTTGCAAGAGTTTTTAAGTGGCAGAACGTGGGATGGAGCGTGAGCTCCGCGAAGGCAGATTCCACGTCTTGTCACCAGCTGTGTCTCAGGTGCAGTAGGCACTCAGTCTATGCCGTGAATGCATGGTCATCTCTTCTTCATGCTTCAGCTTAGGGGAAAATGGATCCAAAGTTCTTTTGAGCTTAAAAGTAAATGTGTAAGATGACACGTGAGCCACCAAGTAACAAGCAATATTGACTTTATTTTGCAGATCTCCCCTTACATTTAAATGCTGCCATGTTTGAGGCCAACGGTGGCTGTGGTTATGTTCTAAAACCCCCAGTTCTGTGGGACAAGAACTGTCCCATGTATCAGAAGTTTTCGCCCTTGGAAAGAGACCTGGACAACATGGAGCCTGCCATCTATTCCTTAACTGTAAGCATGGCCTCGGTTTTCAGAATATAGTAGGATCTGTAAGGCTTCCTGAATATGAACTGGTCTTGAATTCAAGGCATTACAAAGGTCTCATGTCACAGTCTTGTTCTGGTCTTGAATTCAAGGCATTACAAAGGTCTCATGTCACAGTCTTGTTCATGCAGATTTAGTTCCCAAAAGCATGTCTTTACCTCTCAGAAAGCAGTGGCTATGGTTTAGGTACGCTGTCACCAGGCCCTGTATCTGCCAGAGCCCAGTCGGTGGACTTATGAGGTCCCTGCTTCAGCTGTGTATTGATGATGATAATTCTGTCCTCCAGCTCCCGAGCATTATAACTGTGAGTGGATCCCATAAACGTTGAGCTCCTGGTTAGAGCAGATCATCTTAAACTCTGACAAGTTCTTATAAGATCAGATAGGCCTCAATATACAAATCAATTAAATATCTTTTCTCCTTGCAGCTTAACCTCTATCATTACTGGGCCTTTCCTTATTCCTTTTATTACCTATTAACTAATCATCAGAACTCCACAGGCTGCCCCTAACAGCTGAGCCCCGGTAGTTCATCACCCAGATTTATTCCCTGTTCTTTTACTCCCACTTAGTTGATAGAGGGAAAAAACCACTGGATGGTGATAGAAAAGGCAGAGAGGGACGAAGTTACCTCTTCTCTCCAAGTTCACATCTTGTTTGTCTGGCTGCAAAGGAAGACTGCCGGACAGCCTGGGCTCATGACACCTCAGAGCCGGGGGGGAACCCGCTCACATGTGTCCCCCCCCAAATTGCTTTCTTCTGGCCCCAAGACGAGGGCAGCCGCCCCTTTCTGTCTGACCATTTCAGCTGGACTCACGTAGAGTTCCATCTACTTACAGAAGGCTGTGGATTGATTTTTAACAACATTCCCTGAGACTTGCGCCAAAACCCAACTCTTCAAGAAAAAGATTTGGAGTATATCAAATATATCCACCGAAAACCTTTTGAACAGAATGTTAGGAACCAATTCTCGGTTACATTGCCTACAGTCCCCTCTTCTCTTACCTTCTTGAGAAACTTAATTATCTTGATTGCTTGGAAAGGAGTTGAACATTTTCACAGTTGAAGGGTTACAATCAGGTGAATGCTGTTGACAAAATAGGCTTTCACATGATTCCAGTCGTGTGATGACCTGATTACAATCACTTCTCTTTTTTTAGCAACTTTATTAACCATTTACTGGGTTCATTCCAGAGTGTTCTCTGTCCCTCTAGGTGGAGGGAAGAAGTGAGGTACAGAGATTGCTCTGTTTCTTTTGCATCTTCGGTGATTTAGATCCTTTCTTCCCCCTCAGATCGTCTCTGGTCAAAACGTGTGTCCGAGCAGCGGCACGGGGAGCCCCTGTATCGAAGTCGACGTGCTGGGCATGCCCCTAGACAGCTGCCACTTCCGCACAAAGCCCATCCACCGGAACACTCTGAACCCCATGTGGAATGAACAGTTTCTCTTCCGGGTTCACTTTGAAGACCTCATATTTCTTCGTTTTGCTGTTGTGGAAAACAACAGCTCAGCCGTAACCGCTCAGAGAATCATCCCACTCAAGGCTTTAAAACGAGGTAAAATTGTCAAAATGCTAATCATTATTGTAGCTAAGTGATGGATGCCCCGGAGTTCATGATGCTCTTCCTTCAACTTGTGTGGGTTTAAAACTTCCATAGCACGAAGTTAAAATAAGAGGCACAAAGAAATAATACAGATTTGAACATTGTTGATGCACATCTCAAAAGAGAATTTTCTTTTACATTATCCTAAAATCGGAGGTGTTGACAACATCCCCTAAGAGTGCGGCCTCTGCTTCTGCTTGTGTGGGGAGGCAGGTTTATGCTCCCGTATGCCCCTTCCCAGTAGCGCCCACCACACCCTGGTGGGTTTAGAGCAAGGACTGACGTTAGGAGAGGAGCCCCAGGGGCGCCTGGTAGCTCAGTCAGAGCAGGGGACTCTTGTTCTGGGGGTCCTGAGTTCAAGCCCTACATTGGGTCTAGAGCTTACTTTTAAAAAATTTAAAAATTAAAAAAAAAGAGGCTGAGAGGAGGCGGGCTGAGGTGTGCTCGTGGCATCGGCAGGCCCCAGCCACGTCCAGGGTCGGAAGCTGGGCTGGGTGTGGGGGGCAGAGCAGGGGCAGATGGAGAACGCTGAGCCAAGGCCGGAGCTGTTGGCCTGAGGTGGTGCAGCCTAGCTGCGCTCTCCTGCAGCTTCTGCTTGCGGCCCCAGTCGGCCCAGCTGTGTCTGCTCCTCAAACTTTGATGTGTATCAGAGTCTCCTGGGACTCTTGGTAATAAAATGCGGATTCTGACTCAGTAGGTCTGGGGTGGGGCGTGAGATTCTGCATCGCTAACAAGCTCCCAGGAATGCTGACCTGCAGGTCTGCTCTGAGTACCAAGGTTCTAGTACTTCTTCCCACAACCACAAACTGCCACAAGCATGTGACGGGCTCCTACAGTTTGTTCTTTCCCTGTTTTTCTTCCGCACCGTGCAGGCAGCCCATGGTCACTGCCTTAGTCAGCTCAGGCCGCTATAACAGAACACCACAGACTGGGGGCTTAGACAGCAGACGTGTCTTTTCTCACAGTTCTGCAGATCAGTGTGTTGACGGGATTGGTTTCTCCCAAGGCCTCTCTCCCTGGTTTGCAGACGACCACCTTCTCGCTGTATCCTCACATGGTTGTCCCTCTGTCTGTGTGCATGACTCCAGGTGTCTCTCTCGGTCTTTGTGCTAATCTCTTCTTACAAGGACACCAATTATACTGGTTTAGGGTTCACCCTAATGACCCATTTTAACTTCCTTAAAGGCCCTAACCCTCTTTAAAAGCCCTACCTCCAGATATAGTCACATTCTGAGATCCTGGGAGTTAGAGCTTCAACATAAGAATTTGGGGAGGACACAATTCAGTTCATAAGAGTTATTACAGAAATATGAGAAAGTACAGAGAAGCAAAAACAATTCTTTTTAACCATCCATTTCCCATCCAAAACCATCACCTTTGGTGTATTTCTTTTGCAGGCTTTGTTTTTCTGCCCATGTATTTACATACTATACGTAATATGCATACATATACATATTACATAATGTATATTTTTAACAAATAGGCCTCCTACTAATCTTAGTGCTTTGCACCTTACTGGTTTTCACTTCCTGTTGTATGTAGGGAGCAACTTCTCATGTTGATAGCCATGCATCTTCATCACCGCTTTTACTGGCTGCTTGTTATTCCATTTTATACAGACATTCACACCATAACTTACTTAGCCAACCCCCTATTGTTGGAATATTATCACTAAAACTGTTCTAAGAGGGAATATTTGTTAAACAGTGACTGTAGATGACTTGATACAGAGATGGTCAGATTTTCCTAGTATATTTTGTTTGAGTTTAGGATTTCCGGTTTGAGTCTATGTTAGAAACAGTACCTAGACAAGTTGGTTGCCACTGGATGAGCCAGAACTGTCCCCAGGGACAGCAGTCTGCCGATGAAAAGGCATCTCCTGGCTGCCACTCCCCACCAGTCGCAAGGCCTGATTCCGCCAACCGTTGACTGCCCTCCCTGGGGTGTCTTCTGTGCGGAGCTCTGGGGTGCGTGGCTAACAGGTTTCTCCCAATTCTGCATTATTTCAGGATATCGGCATCTTCAGCTACGAAACCTCCACAATGAAGTCTTGGAAATCTCTAGTTTATTCATAAACAGCAGAAGGATGGAAGAAAATTCCTCCAGCAGTGCCGTGCCGGCCTCTTTGGTAATGAAGTTCTGTTTCACTCAGCACATTTGCAAGGATTGCTACGCTGGGGGTAGGCTTTCTTGTGGCACAGGAACCTGGTCCATCAGAGTTATTGATTAGGTAGCAGTGGAAGTGATAGTCACAATAACGTCTGGCCCTTGACACTTTCTAAGCACTTTACATCTGTCCTGACTCAGTTAATCCTCTCAATAACTTCGTGAAATCGCTATTGATCTCCACTTCATTGAGGAGGAAGGTCAGAGCTAAGTTAAGTATACCTGAGGTCACACAGCGATAAATCCAAGTTATTCTAGTGACAAAGCCCATGTTCTTCATGAGTACATAATAGTGCCTGCCGGGGGGATGAACCCAAAATAACGACGTGGGGAAAGGACTAAGCAAGCCAAGCATGGGCAGATGCAGAATCGGCCCTCTTGGAAATGAGACAGGAACACCACAGAGAGGGCCACCATTGCAGAGTCTCTGTTTTAACAAGCTCCCCATGTAAGTTCCATGCCCACTGAAGTTCGAGAACCACTGGACCAGTACTCACCCCAGTAATGCAGAGTTGTTTACTTAAGTAGCACTGCTTTAATTAACCGGTTGATTCCATTATCTTGCCCTTTAAAGCTGAATTTTAAAGGGTGCCCATTGATTACCTCTTTACATGCTTAATCGTCTGTTCACCGTTGCATCAATCTTATCTTTCAACATAGTGCTAACAACCCGTGGAAAGGCGCCATGTACGCTCACAAATGGCAGTGGTTGGCCACTGCCATGGCCACCTGAAAATCCCCCAGCTTTCTTCTCTGCTTCTCTTCCCCTCACCTCGTCAGTGTCTTCTCTCTCTGTCCTGACCTCATTTCCTTAGGTTCTCCTCCCTTTCCCTTCAGTGTGTGGCCAGGGTCGAGAACAGCACCTTGGCCAAGGTGGAGGGAGGCATTGCCTGTACGTGTGCAGAGGACTGGGTAGCAGGGGCAGGGCTGCCTGGTACCTAAGGGCAAGAATCAGATGCTTTTACAAGGTGAGGCAGGCTTAGTGAGGGATTCAGGGTTGGTTGCCCTCAATACCTATTAGCAATAGATATACCACACGTGCCATGAATGAACCATTGTTCCTTACAGCACTTCTGACACTAAATACGTGGTGTCTTCTGACGCTACTTCAGCTCTGACACCACCTGGGTGTCCTGCTTTTCGATCTAGTTCTGACACCATCTACCTTGACTTAGCATCAGATCCCAAAGTTAAGGGGTCAGTCCTACAGGACTGTCCCCACTTCAGGTGCCAGTGGCAAGTCCCAGGCTGTCACTGGTACTGCTGACTGACCACCTATAAATTCGAGAGTTTTCCACAACCTCCTCCTCAGGTTCAGGAATTTTCTAGAATCATTCACAGAACTCAAAAACATGCTTTACTATTACCAGTTTATTATGAAGGATACAACTCAGGAGCAGCCAAATGTAAGAGATACATGGGACGACGTCTAGGGAGAGGGGGTGCAGAGCCTCCTGGCATCCTGATGTGTTCACCAACCCAGAAGCTCTCAGAACCCCATCTTTTAGAGGTTTTTATGGAGGCTTTGTCCTCTTTCTGGGGACAGAAATAATAATAAAATAAAATAATAATTCCAAGGCCAGGCATGTCTGATTCAGCTCTCCATCAGTGAATTTTGTATTTTGAATGAATATATCTTAATAAACAAAATGCTCAAAAAGTCATGAGTTACACACACCCCCAGCTTTTCCTAAAACAGAAATGCTTTTCATTTTATAATTATTTGTGTGCCTGGGCAGTGAGCTATCCAAGGCCATAATATTCTATCATCTTACCAACCAAAATTCTAACCCAGGACCCTAAAGAGAAATGGAACTCAATAGGCACTGTTGGAGGTCAGTTCATCATAAGTAATATATATTTCAGATAATATCAGTCTCCTAATTAAGATGGAAAGAGTCACTATTATTTAAAATAAACTATTATTTTGGTGGTATGCTGCTAATATCCTCACTAGACTATTAAGGAAGATGCACCATGGCCTCTTCAACCACAAACAGATGCATCAGGTTATAGAAGAATGGTCTTCTTTTGCATTTACGTGTCCCCCTACAGACTTCTAAGAACTAGCACTTCTCTATTGAATATAGCCTAGAAATAACTTGAGAATGAGAATGAATGAGACACCATGTGATCTTCCTTGACAGATGTTTAATACAGAAGAAAGAAAATGTTTGCAGACTCACAGAGTCACGGTGCATGGGGTCCCGGGTCCAGAGCCCTTTACTGTTTTCTCCATAAATGGAGGCACCAAGGCAAAGCAGCTTCTCCAACAAGTAAGCCCACCATGCCCATGGTTGGGAGAATCCAACATCTATATATATGAGTGTGTTTGTGTGTGTGTGTGTGTAAATGCATGTGTAAACATAAAAACATACATAAGACACAAAGTCCACGATGATCTGCCTTTTGGTTATTTGTGTAATTCAAAACAGATCCACCCTAAAAATGAACTGGGGGAACTTGGTACCACTAGACAAACTAACCTGTAGAAAAGAATTTTTAACAATTCTTCAAACACGTAAAAACTTGGGGCTCAGGAAGGATAAAGACCAGAATAAGTAGCTCTCCAAGCATGTGTACTCTTTCCCTCTAAGCCTAGACCCAGGCCCCATCTCCCTTTTTAACGCAGAGCTTACTAATCAATCAGAATTCGCACACAAGCTGAATGAAGTTTGTTTGCCATCCTAGGAGTTGGATCAAAGTTTTAGAGCATCAGGGCGCCTGGGTGGCTCTCAGTTGGTTAAGTAACTGTCTTCAGCTCAGATCATGATCCTGGAGTCCCGGGATCGAGTCCCGCATCGGGCTCCCTGCTCAGCGGGGAGTCTGCTTCTCCCTCTGACCCTACCCCATCTTGTGCTCTCTCTCTCTGAAATAAATAAAATAAAATCTTTAAAAAAAAAAGTTTTAGAGCATCAGGATGGAGCACATGGCCAAGAAGACATCTTCAGCCTCTCCAGCCTTAGGCCTTTATTTGCATGTTGAGCATGTTGAGCAGCCCCCTTGTCGGTCTTCCCCTGGCACTTGATCTCAACCCTTGAGGTACCACCCCTCTGGTAGTACAAAGAGGCCAGCAGGGCCTGACACAAGGACGAAGGCCTGCTGCCCCAAACCCTGCAGCAGCCCTGGCCTGAGTCCCCTCATGTGGTCTCGCTTCTGCTCGGGATCCCCCAGAGATCTCTGTTGCGTTCTGTAGGCCACTGCCTCATGGGAAGACATGTCCAAGTGAGGAAGCCGGGAACAAAACAGCATCTGGAGGGAGGCAGCTCCTCAAAAAGATGGGCAAACCCATGTGTAATGTCTTTTCTCTTCACACTGGAAGCTCCACCCCTGCTTGGCACAGTGACCTAACATCCTCACAGACTATTTTATCCCTAACCCAATTCAGAATCCCTTCTCCTCCTTGGGGATAGACCAATGGAGCAGTGACCAAGAGGAGTGACCCTTAGGCTCTCTCTGAAGTTAGGGTGTATGATGAAATGTAGCTGGGATCTTAGAATGTATGGGGTGAAGTTAGAGATTAAAAACCAATGGAACAACCGTACAGAGTAAGAGTAATAAATAGTTCTGGTTTTTTTTTTTTTTAAGATTTTATTTATTTATTCATGGGAGACAGAAGGAGAGAGAGAGAGAGAGAGA